ATATATATAAAAATATATATATATATATATATATATATATATATATATATATACCTGTATTTATATTGTATTTATATATATGGTGATATTTTATTTATATATATGGTTTAACTGGAGTTGGAACCACTGGATAGTAACTAGGGGTCACTTACGCTCCAGACTGGACCCTCAGGGAGCCAACTTCATTGTTGGACCAGCCCATGGCCTGGAGGGAGGGGTAATCATCACTTAGTTCTCCCTTGCGGCCCAGAAAGTTTTCTCTCTCATAGATACTCATGCGACACTCTCTGTGGTTCTGGAAGGAGAAGAAAGAAAGAAAAAACAGCAGTCAACACAGAGGAGATTTTTTTCTCCAGTCAGTTGATAATCACCTGATCAAATATGGGAGTGAGAGTTTAGCAAAACAATAATTTCAACAGTCATTTTAATAGTCATTAATATAAAAAGATTATGAATAAATACTACTGATTTTAGGTGTTTTTTTTCCTCTCAATATGGTCCTAATACTCTTTCTTACTATAAAAAACAAATAGTATGTTTTTTTGTTCTTTCTTTGGAGCCTGGTACCTATTGACCTATGACCCTGAACCAGTCCAGGACCCGCAGGTTGGGTACCTCTGCCTTGAAAAAAGATATGTCAATGGTTTTGAAGCAAAAGTAAAAAAAAATATACATAGACATCCCAACTCACAGCACAGGCAATAGGTCTGAAGGAAGTCAGCCTCTGGATGTGGTAGGAGTTGCTGCCACCGAAAGCATCACACTGAGGATACTCTCCCCTCTCAAGGACAAACTGCTGCCCCTGGTAGGAGGCGTGCTCCCAGCCAACCCAGCTGCAGAAAACGATAGTTTTGTAAACATACAAATTCAGAATAGTTTTGAAGGTGACTCTCTGAGTGAATACACTTGCACTCACGCTCCACTCTCCACCCTGAGGGAGCGCACGGTCTCAAAACCAAACTCCATCACGTTGCAGCACTCAGAGGTGAACTCATGGCGGCGCCCCTGGAAGCACTCCTCGTCGAAGACAATTATCTGAGGTAAAAACAAGATGTTTAAAGCTGTGTGTGTATGTACCAGGGCCAGACAACAGGGGGAGCACAAGTTTCATTCACAAGTTTTTAATGTAAATTGCAGTGCTGTTGAAATTAACACATTATTTGTGTAAATTTAATTTGTGAAGAATTTTCTGATTTTTTTTTTCATTTTAACACCTGAGTAGAATGAACGCTGTATATCCAGAAATTCAATTGTTCATTCACTTATTGTTTGTCTATTACACGCTCCACACACACATTATTGTTTGCACACGCTGGGACTTACCATTGTTTACGTGTATGGGTGTTCCACCTTAAAACAACTTTTTAGGTCCAGGACCTTTAACTGTCCTAAAAAAACTATTTTACCTTTGAATTATCAGTTTTGGGTTTTTAGACATGGTTTAGCTGCAACTTTATGGAAGAGGAACTGTTTTAAAACGAAAAGTCAGCCATTGATGTTGAATGAGAGTGTTACACTCACCTTCCAGTGGCCAGAGAACTTGGTGCAGTGGTGAGTCATCTTTCCTGACAGGAAAAGCAAAGCATTAAGGCCATAAAAACAAAAATAATTCAGACATCACCGGCATTAGAGGGGACTGCTTCTGCTTAAAAACACTACAAACACATACAAATATATAAATGAGATTTTTCATCAACAGCCATTTTATGGTGGATTTTGTTTTTTGCTTCAACTGCAGCACAAAAAATTAAAAGACACAAGCTACAGTATCTGGACTCATATTCTAACCCTGGACCAGTCCATCACAGGGCCACATGTAGAGCCAAACAGCCATTCATACTCACACACATTCACTCTTATCGCCAATAGTCACCAACCAACCAATTCATAACGAACAAATAACCTAGTGCTGTGTCTTCAGACTGAAGGAGGAACAGCAGTTCCTACAGAAAACTCATGCAAATGTCAAGAAGAGAAACATCTAGAAAAAAGAGTAACACCATGGCATGTCATAAAAGGGTGATAAATTAGCAACATTAGCTTGGAAACAGATTTTTAAAAAAGTGAAAAAAAAAGTTTCTCTCTTAAATAAGCCAGTATTTCAGTACAGTAACCAGTATGTACAGCCTCAGTGGTGATCAGTGTAGTCATCAAGTCGTCACAAATCAATGACTGATTCAACCTCATAGACAGGTTGCACAGAGGAGGCAGTTCTAACTACATGAGTCCAAGAGCAGTGGTCCTAAAAGGTCATGACCTCTTCAAGCCTCTGCAGTGCAGTGATGGCAGCAGTGCTGGTTTTTGAGTGAGTGTTAATTCAGGGGGCGTGTATGCCTTGGCTCTTGGTTACTGTGCTGTGCAGAGCTGCGCTAGGCTAGGCGACAGAGGGGGACTCACCTTGCTTTGGTGCCCACGAGATGTCCTGCCGTAAGAGTGGTCAGAGCCACACACTGCCATCCTTTTAAAGCCTCCCCTGGCAAGAGGCCATGCTGAAAGTCCAGGCTCAGCAGCAGGGAGGGGCTTGATCTTTGTCCCCTTCTGACAAAAACGTTGTTATTCTGTGTTGTAGCAGAAGTGCAGACCCCACAGTATCACACTGAGCGTTAGGCATGGAGACACAGGAATATAAAAGACACTGTCAGACAATGCTGATGGACAGAAAGGAGTAACAGAGTAACAGAGTTTAAACATCCCTGGTTATCAACACCTGAAACGCTCCAATGGTTTTGGAAATAATTCCATATATGTGTAATTTTAGAGAGAAAAAAGTTCAAATTTCTGGTAATCTTCAGAAGAATTATCGTAGTTAATTATCCAGATTAAAGGAGTATAAAATATAACAGTAGACAGTTGATATGATTGGACACTCAGTTTGACTAACAGAGACAGAGACTGGTAACACTGGGACATTTTTGTGACTTTATCCATTGTCTGCAACAACCAGGCTTGTTTGCACGGTTGTATAATGCAGCGTTGCACAACTTTACTCTAACTGTATCATGATCATTGATAAAAGTGATAATAAAGTGAAACTCAATCGTTCATTGACTCAGTCATTCATGCTTCTCTTCACTGTCTACACCACAGGTGTCAAACTCAGGGCCACGGGCCAAATCTGGCCCCTCTTGTACATTATAGCGCATACACTGTAGTTGTTTTGTTGTTAGCCTGTGAAAAAAGATTCACATTAAAAAGGACCTCAAAAGACGAGAGATAGAAACAGATTTATAAGGAACGAACACCACTGATGTGTGTCTTATTTCAAATTTAATTTCCTTGTGTTTATAGTTAACAGTTTATAATATTAAGCTTTGGCAGTTCAAAATTTAATGTTAAAAACTGAAGTTTCTTCCACATGAAAAAATAATCAACATTCTGTATCTGGAAAGAAGAAAAAATATGCACAATCCCAGTCATTTTTCCAATAAATACTGATTTTGTCCTGCGACTTCGTCCCAGTTTTTAATTTTGGCCCACTGACCCAAGTCAGCCCAGCCCCCCGGACAGTTCACCAGTTTGTCACATTCGTTAACTATTATTTATCATTGGGCTTTGTTTGCCAGACTGACAGTGATTGGCAGAAAAGTAAAATATTCGACTAGGTGAAAGACAGTTATAATAACTAAATAAAAGTAGAGACTGGACATTGTGTATGTCTTTCTTTAGTTCCTGTGAGTATATCAGTGCTCTGTCCAACTAAATAGGATAAGTGTTCACCTGTTTAGTTGGGTAAATTGTGCAGAAATTTAAAATCATTATAATTCATTACATATAGTTTTGTGACATTTTTGTTTGGTGGTGCACCCTGGGATTTGTCTAATGTAAAGTATGGCCTGTGGCTCAACAAAGTTTGGGAAACAAGGCTTTACAAAACAAACGTGGTCGATCAGTGAGTTGTATTTTTTAATATAAATACTTAATTGTAGTCTGTACTCTGTTTTTCTGGGACTGTGGACCACGTGGTGTTTGGTGTTTGTCATTGTCTCATTGTCTCCTCTGCTCCATTACTTTCCTCTCTACGTGTAGCTATAGCCTAACTTACAAACTCACCAGGTCAACATGTGCTGAAAAACAGCATCGCTCAGCATTTTCCTTTGATTGTAAAGTGCTTACAGACTGGTCAGTGGGGCCACCGGCATTTCTGGGCGGTGCAGTGGCCCAGTGGCTTTGGGACAAACCAACTGTGATGATGAGAGCCTTTCCTTTGTGTTGCCAGCCTCTCGGTTTGGCCTTTGCCAGAGTATAAAAGCTCACACCGACAGCAGACGGGACTAGCAGGCGCTATCCTTCCTATCCACACAGCACTGCAAGCTATACTAACACGCAGGTAAGGACACACTGACACACACCTACATGCCCGAGCGAACGTTGTCAGACCTATAAAGTACAGTACTTCAGTACTTCAGTCTAAATGGTCCCCAAAACAACTGAAAAAAAACCCCAAACTTTATACCGTCACTTTTATTTACATTTTAACATCAATGTTCACCCCTTGTGTCTTCTCCTCCTCTCAAAGCCCCTCATCATGTCTCAGACCACCAAGACCCACGGCACTGATGCCAAGGACAAGGGAGTCCCTGCTCCAGCTGCCTCCAGCAAGTCCACCAAGACCGGTGAACCCGGCATGGGTTCCTACAGAGTGAGTCCCTGGCATGTTGTGGCATCTGCCCAGAACGGCCTCTCCACAGAATCTTTTATGTTTCTTGAAGGTCAGTTTGGTAACTGGAGAATGACTGTGATAATGACACCTGTTCCATGGAAATAATTCTGTCACTTTTTCAAACAGAGTTGTTTTAGTTTCTAAATATGTGGTGACTGTGGTTAGTATGTTAGATAGTACAGTCGTGTCTCATCAGAGGAGCTTGTGATTATCATCAGACTTTCCAGTCTACCAGTCTTAGTCTAGGGTTGGCAGCCTTGCAGTCAGAACGTGAATGGTACAGCATGTAATCAAGATACCTTAAGTTGTAGGACTGGAAAAGTGCAACTGGTAGACAGCACCAAATACAAAAGAGCAAAAAATCCTTAAAAAATGTCTTTCGATAGGTAAGGGGTGTCTTAGTTAAACTTTTAAACCTTCGTTTAAAGGACAGAGGTATCATTAGAAATGGAAGTGGCTCTGTGGTGCTGTGATAGGCACCAGGCCATACAGACAAAGACATGTTTCACATGGATAGCCACCTTTCAAAGAGGGCAATTAAATAACAGAAGATCTTTCACTCTGGGAGGAATTCTAATGGCAGCCCCAACAACTGTTAATACACTGAATGTACGTAAATAAGAGTGTTTGAACAACAGTAAGACCAGAGAAGACACCTGAGAAAGGAAAAGTGCCTCAGATGTGTACGACAGAAAATGAATGCCTAAAACGTTCGGTGAATGCAGTTGTGTAACTTACAATAACTGCTCTGTGTGCAGGTTATGCTGTTTGACCAGGAGAACTTCCAGGGCAGAATGACAGAGTTCCAGAATGAGTGCATGAATGTGTGTGACCGTGGAATGGACAGAGTTCGTAGTATCATTGTGGAGTGCGGCCCGTAAGTGGACACATACAGTACACAGTACCCAGTACACAGTACACAGTACACAGTACACAGACTAAACTCAGATATGAAAACAGTTGTCAGTTTAAAAGGACCATAAAAGAAAATACTCACCCTTCAGTATATATAGATACAGATACATCTGTCTAGTATATACACATATACTGTATACACAACTCGACGAACGTCATAATACCTGATCCATCCTCTAATTCTTTCCTTCTGTACTGTCCTCTCCTGTGTCCCCACTGTCCCTGATGGACCCCCCTCTTCTGCAGCTTTGTTGCCTTTGAGCAGACTAACTTCCGTGGGGAGATGTTCATCCTGGAAAAGGGAGAGTATCCTCGCTGGGACACCTGGAGCAACTCCTACCGTAGTGACTGCCTCATGTCTCTCAGGCCCATTCGCATGGTATGTTGATCAGTGTTGCAAAACAGTTGCTTTCTTCCCTATTTTAAATAGTGTTGTCAGTGGTTCTCAAATAGTGGGGCAAGCCCCCCTGGAACGGCACGGTGAGGTGCCAAGGGGGAGCGTGAGAGTCTTCCAATGGAATATGGCACGCGGGACACAAGTGTACTAATGCTGTAATGCTTGAATGATGTCAGTGGTCCAGTCACTAGGTGGCAGGGATTGGCTCCAGCTCCCTGAGTCAGGCTCAGAATGCCAGGTCACCAGTCCATATACTTATTACAATCACCGGCTAAATCTGAATTTTTGTTGTGTTCTAGTCTGCTGTTTTGCATTATGGGATCTTATATTACAGTAACAGCTTAGTTGTTGTTTTGGATGTACAGTATGAAATGACTCTATCAGATTAATCTTGGTATCAGTTCGAGTCAGAACGTTGACCACCTTATTTCATGGCTGCAGGACAGCCTGGAGCACAAGATCTGCCTGTATGAGCTCTCCGACTTCAAGGGCAACAAGATGGAGATCCAAGAGGACGACGTGCCCACCCTTTGGGCGCATGGCTTCTGTGACAGAGTGGGCAGCGTGAGAGTGCCAGGAGGATCGTGAGTAGACACAGACACAGGCTCATACACTTTGACATAGCATGTGGAGTGACCAGACAGGGATCAGATGACAAACGAATTCAAATGAAACCTTTTAGACTAGTAAAACAGGACAAGTTAATTTTTTAAAAATTAAATATTTTTAATTTTTTTTTTCAACACAAAATACATGTTCCCAGTGAATTTTATTAATTCTAAAATGTACAATAACAGAAATTTGATATCACAACGCATGATCTGCTGCTGCCCACGTTGTCTAGAATTCTGGAAAAAAGCAACACAAAATACATGTTCCCAGTGAATTATTGCTTCTTTTTTCCTTTAAGTGAAAACCACATTAACCCTCCACTCTGTGTGTTTTCTGTAGTTGGGTGGGCTACCAGTACCCTGGATACAGAGGCTACCAGTACCTGTTTGAGTGTGGAGAATACAGACACTACAACGACTTCTGCGCCTTCCAGCCCCAGATCCAGTCTATGCGCCGCATCCGCGACATGCAGTTCCACCAGAGAGGCTGCTTCACCTTTACCTCTGCCAGCAAGTGAATGAGACACGGGATGCTGTTGTAGCCGATGTAGCCCTCTGAGCTTTACAATTCTCTAAACCCAACATCTGAATCAGCACCATCAACGCTCCATCCAACAGAAATCACAGAATAAGCACAAACACAGTGGACATTGTGAAATGACTTTTTATGCTGCTACAAAAATAAAACTGCAAACAATCTAAAATCCTCCTGGAGTGCTTTACTTTTATTCACTCAACATGAGAAAACAATACTCTCACTAGTTTGTAATGCCAATAACTGAAGTTAGAAATATTTTTGGTTTTTAAAATGGATTTATAATGGAAAATAAGATTTACCACAGACAGTTAACACACGGTTCATTTGTTAATATAATAACCTGTCACTGTGGATGTACATTATTACTGAACATACTACTGACAAGCTGAATATGTGTTTTGGTTGAGTAATAATCAAAGACTACTATCAGTTCTGTTAGATAGAATGATACTCCACCTTATCATGTGACATTATCACTGGATGCTACAGTAACTGACATGTGTCCATGTCAGTCAGCATCAGAACCACAGTGTCCACAATCCAGACAGAGACTGAGTCAAGCCTGGGGCAAAGGCAAAAGGGCCCAAACCATGGAGTTCAAAGCAGGAAAAGTCATATATCAAGCAGTTAACCACATATACTATATATATATATATATATATAAAGATTTGACTATATTATAAAGAAATTAACCAAAAATATCAGAAGATGGAACTAAAGATAACGAGAAGTAATTACCACAAGTACATAATATCCAATAAAATAATCGGTTATCAAAGTTTCTCCTTTATAAACTATTCCTTTCGGAAAAGACAATGTCATGGTTATAGCTACATGGTGCGTTCAGGACTAATAGACAGGCGTGTAAAAAGAAACCCATTTAAGAATGTAGTTTACAGCTTTTATTTCCTTTCCCCATATAGGATACATTACATTATACTAACTAATGAAACACAGTTTGATTATGTATTTTGAAATGGCTACCGTTGTAACGCTTTGGCGAGATAAATAGGACTGTATGGACAATCACTGAATTGAATCACTTCGAGACAATTTCCGAAAGCGCTTGAAGGTAACAGAGTGTGGCACAAACGTGAAGTTTGAAACCGGTGTTTTCGGTGGAGTGGAGGAAGTCTTTATGCTTTAACCGGAGACAGAGAAGACACCATGGCTGCACTCTTTAAAGCACGCAGAGGTGAGAACTCACGGAAGCAACTGGACACAAAAACGACAAAGTGTTAACAGTATAGAAGCTGTATCGTTACAGTATACTGACCTCCAGCAGAGCGAATTAGCTGTGCTCGCACTCGCTGTAATTCTTTTGACGTCTTTAATATCAGCTGCTCAGTGAGTTTATGTTTGTTTTATTATCACCTGGTCATTTACATTTGAGCCACAGTGATTGTTAAATCCGTCATTTCTTACCGTTAGCTCATTGACTTATTTCAGTTAGCCAGTTAGCTAGGTAGAGATATTGTAAAAAACCGTGTGCAGTGTTGGTAATTCCACTTATGTCCATGGTTTTGTGATAACATTACATCGAATAATGTCATATCAACATAATGTATTAAGTTGTTTATTTACACGCCAAGACGAGAGAAATGTCGCTGATGTTAAAGATGACCTTTCACCCAGATAGCACATAGGCTAACAACAGTTAGCTGCACCAACTGTATGTGCGTTAATTCTACCAGGTTATAATACAGCCTGTCTATAGGTGGTTCTATAGAACAGGGTTGACCAAGCAGAGGTACTCGGACCCATGTTGGTACGGATATGAAATGGATATGGAACAAAGGAAAGTACTTGGATATAAAATACATATAAACTCAGAAATGGTTGAGTAAATATCCCCCAGCAGTATTATTGGCTACACTCTAATTTCTTACTGTATACACTTTGAAAGACTAACAAGGTGAGGTGATTACAAATAGTAGTTTACACACGACTACCTCATTCATTTGCCCATTTCTTATGGTTTTTTTTTTTTTTTTTTTTTTTGGATGGTCCGATCCAAATAAATGGACAAAGTTTCAGAACGGGACAGGTCGTCTGATCCTATCCATCGGCCGTAACTATCACATTAATTATGAACTTATTTTTCACTCCATCTATTCAGCTGCAGTAGCAAAGGCAGATCCTACAGAAAAGCATTGGACAACATCTGCTGCAACTTCTCATTTAGAATTCTAAAAAAAATACAGTCAGACTACCCAGAGTAGTTTTAGGGTGGGGTAAACCTTGAAGAAAGTGAATAGATGTAGTAAAGAGGAGTCTGTGTTAAAACTGTTTTTATGATGGAAACAAGAAGAATGACTAAAGACTAGACTCACTACTTAACTACAGAATTGCAATGTCAAATATTTGACTGTTTTACAATTTCCTAATTTGATAACAAACTAGTTTTTTGCCACTTGCAAACATGTTAGTTTGCATTGTTGTCATGTCTTAGATCTTTCATCCTGCACACTTATGGAAAATTACTTTTTCCAATTGTCATTCTGCATTTGCTGGCGTCCAGGTGTCCGTTTGTGAGGAAGACACATCAGTTCACATGGAAGACAACAATGTCCAAGTCTTTGTTTTCATTTCAGCTCTTGGCTCTTGTCTTAATGGATGGCGGAAACTGTCGCAGTTAGCGGAGTTACCAGAGACACATTTGATAATAAGGCAGACGTGCAGAGAGTATGCCGACAAAGAACTGACTCCAATCGCTGCCAAACTGGACAAAGAGCACTGTTACCCTGCACAACAGGTACTGATACACACAGAGGTAACTCTCTGACCACTCTACTGAAAGTGTCATAGACATTTCAAACGAATCCTGTTCACAAATGAAACATGAGGTGATGACAGAATAATCTGTTTTGTATAAATCCACCAAGGGCGAAGGTATGTGATACCTTCTGGGAGGGTTTTGGTTTATAGAATTTTCTTAATTTTTCCACACCTTTTTTTTGGGGGGGGGGGTTCAAGCCTCACATGTCCAAAACAAACAAAATATTGACAATTTACATTTTAAAAATCTTAAACTTTACACCAAGTAACGTCATATTTTGTAATGAATCAACATCAATAACATGACAGCCATCATCATTTGAACCTTGAAAATGTCCTCTCCTTTGTCCCGCTCCACCTTTCATGTCTCCATTCCCCACCAGTTTGGCCCGCCCCACACTTTGAGCACTGGATTAGCATGACTTAGTTAATTTTTTTTTTCTTTTTGTCCAGATTAAAGAGTTGGGAGCAATGGGTGTGATGGCCATTGAGGTGCCAGAGGAGCTGGGTGGTGCTGGTATGGACTACTTGGCATACAGTCTGGCCTTGGAGGAGATCAGCCGAGGCTGCGCCAGCACCGGAGTCATCGTCTCTGTTAATAATGTGAGTGAACTGTGCTAAAATCACAGCTTTAACAGCAGTCAGAGACTAGAGTGTTGAAACACAGAGGCTAGTAGACTGAGGCTTCACTATATCTATAAAACAATTGTAAATATTTGACAGTGGAGGTTGGAATGGTCCACTACAAGGTCAGGGGGTCATTGCTCCTATGAGGAAAAATAATTTAAATAACAAGAATCCTATTGGCTATCAATTAGAAATATTAATACATATGCCCCTGGACATGATTCAGGAAACTTCAAAATAAAAGTCTTTGGACGAAGTCTTGACTGAGAATTGCATTCACAGTCTTAATGAATAAAAGTCTTTGGACGAAGTCTTAACTGAGAATTGCATTCACAGTCTTAATGAAAGTACAGGTGTGTGACCACAGGTCATTCTTACTGTAGTATGTCGAGTGTACTTTAATATTTGTTTTATTATTGCACCTGTTATCTGACTGTAGCATCTTTTTTTGTCTAAACCTCAACTTGTCTTACATGAAACAGATCTGTGGCTCAATATAAGGTCCGAGACCTCTGGTCTGAGTCAAATATTCTACGTCTTTAGCAATAGCGCGTGATGTCAGTGTTGATTTAGAAGTAAATGGAAGCACAGCAGTTGATTTGTTACATTGTTACAGTGGTTTTCTGTGTCCTTCTCCGACTGTTGTCTACAGCAGGTTGAACAGATAGATTTGTTCATATTGGGTCAATAGTCGGTACAGAATGTCATGACAGATTCTGTGAATCTGACTCTGTTCACAGTCTCTCTATACTGGACCAATTTTGAAGTTTGGATCTGAAGAGCAGAAGAAACAGTGGATCACACCGTTCACCACCGGAGAGAAGGTGGGCTGCTTCGCTCTCAGTGAGCCAGGTAAATGGACACACACACACACACACGTGCATGTGAAGTGCGATGTCAACTTGTCCTATTTATGATTTTGCATGTGATATTCAGTGGACGGTGGACATAGTACAAGCTGCAGTTTGCAGAAGAGGACAATAGTACAGAAGAGGTCAAAATAATAAAAATAAATTTTGTTTTTTCATTTGATGTGTGAACCCTACAAAATAAGAGGCGTAATAAATGACACGTCTTAATTAGTATCTTTCTCTATTCCTTAGTGTCACTTGATCAAGGAAGAAATTCAGGATCATTTCTGAATTCCCAGTTCATTCAGAATTACAAACCATTAATAACACACAGCATTTAGCATAAGTATTACTGTGTGCTCCCAGCTGGGGGTTCAGCACGTGTCACTCTAGTGGCATTAGCAGGGCACTAGTCACTAGTGAGTAGAGATTCATTTATGATCCAGTCTTCACCAAGGAGAGGCCCAGCTAACCCTGCTCACACCTTCAACTAAGCTTTGTTTTTTGGCGTTGACGACCCATCTGAATCCTGTATGTGACATTACTGCCACCTATTGGCTTTCTTTTACACTGGTTAAAACACTGATGCAGGGATTCACAGAACCAAACATTTTTTGTGACCCTTCTCAAAATGAATATGTGAGATTAGTTTGAAACGATTCTACAGATGATTATTTTCACTTTATTCATTTGAAGGCAATGGCAGTGATGCTGGAGCAGCCTCCACCGTAGCGCATCAAGACGGAGACGAGTGGGTGCTGAACGGAACCAAAGCCTGGATTACCAACAGCTGGGAATCCTCTGCTGCCGTTCTCTTCGCCACCACTGACAAAAAACTGAAACACAAGGCACGAGTCGACACAGTGTTAGTTTTTATCACAGTGTTAATGGAAAGCCAGAATATTCCCATTCCGTTAAAACGCCAGAATAGCCAGAATATTCCCATTCCGTTAAAACTCTTAAAATATCTGGTTACAGGGCATCAGCGCGTTTCTTATTCCCATGCCACACCCTGGACTTTCTCTGGGTAAAAAGGAGGATAAGTTGGGTATTAGAGCTTCTTCCACTGCCAACATCATTCTGGAGGACTGCAGGATACCACTGGGTAACCTGCTGGGTCCCCGCGGGGCGGGGTTCAAGATCGCCATGGTATGTTACTGTGAATGCAGGGTAATTTTAAGGTCATTTTCCAAAGATTTTTTTTTACTTTGTCTGAAGTTTTGACCCTTCACCCATCACAGCAAACCTTGGACAGTGGACGTATTGGTATTGCATCCCAGGCTCTTGGCATCGCTCAGGCTTCTCTGGACTGTGCCGCAGACTACGCTCTCAAACGTACTGCATTCGGAGCCCCCATCGGCAAACTGCAGGCCATACAGGTCTCACACACACACACACACACACACACACACTCCAACCAGACAGTGATGTAAAAACGTCTGTCACTAACACCTCCTCTTCATTCATCCCCAGTTCAAACTGGCCGACATGGCCGTGGCGGTGGAGAGCGCTCGTCTGCTCACGTGGAAGGCTGCACTTCTCCGAGACTCCAAGAAGGCCTTCACTAAGGTACACAGATGAATTATTATAGATTATATAGATGAATAATTTCTGTGTTACACATTCGATGAATCTTTTGTTTTTCTTGCTGTAGGAAGCAGCTATGGCCAAACTGGCAGCGTCTGAAGCTGCCACCTTCTGTGCACATCAGGTAAAAGAAAAACAAAAAACAGCGCCATCTACTCGGAAGGGTCTGAACAAACACCCTTGACTGTGTCCTTTTTGTGTTTTTGCGCATTTTATCAGGCAATCCAGGTCTTAGGTGGGATGGGCTACGTGACCGACATGTCGGCCGAGAGGCACTACAGAGATGCACGCATCACGGAGATCTACGAGGGCACCAGTGAGATCCAGAGACTGGTTATAGCCAACCAAGTACTGAAGGAATACCAGCAGTAGGTCTGGCTGTCCAGGACTGCAGCAGGAAATGTCAACTCGGAGACAGGCCTCGTCCACAGTGAGCCATCATGAAGTATGAGCCGAGGTGTAACACTGACATACAGTATTTTTACTGTCCCTCTACTGGTTACGGTGAAGATGACGCTGTACTAGTTCAGAGAAAATGTACAGCGACTTCAAGCCTCATTCGGCTACATGAAAACACAACAATGGACTTTTTACTGACAAAGAGTCAGTCACAAAGTTATGTGGAAAAAAAATCAGGTTCATAACACAGATCAGAGCTACACGTCCTGCGTGCAATTAATTATTTATGGGACAATAGGAACATTTAAATATTTTATTTGTTTCAATATAACATATTTTTGCTAAATTAAAAAAAATCTGTTTTAAGAACTTAATCAACGGTGCATTCAGGTGAAATCTTTCGACTGGTACTAGCTCGAAAATATCTGAAAATATACTACGTAAAGTATATGTACCACTTCAGACGAGGGATGGTTGATGTGATAAAGTACTCGTCAAAAAGGTTTTTTTATTTAGACAGGTTTAGTGTAACTTACCGAGTGGATTTTGCTGTTCGTTGCCTCGCACCGTTGCTGTACCTCTGAGCGTACTGCTGGTGCAGGAGTGGAGACTGATTGGCAATGTTTAAAATAAAGCAACAGTTTTCAGGGTTTTTGTGTTCAGTCCAGATCATCAGCAGAGTCTCTATTGTAGAGTTGTTGCAGTGATGGAGGAGCACGTCGGCAGGAGACACAGAGGGAGGTCATCAGAACGTGGACCAGTGAAATGCCTTTCATTTTGAACCCTGGTTGAGTTGTAGTTGATGTGGTTTGTCACTCATCATGTTCTCTGTGTCCTGGTTTCCACCATGTTTTTGCACGACTGGCTCCAGATGGTCAGATGCTAACTACACAGCTACGTGAAGCCAAATACGAACCGTTATTAACACGATGAGTCAAAGAAGATTTGTATCTTCTACTCATTTGGGTTTTTTTTTTTTGGTTTTTTTTTTTTTGGAGAGTCTGTTCACTCTACTTTGAACACAGCTGTGAATGTATGTGTGAACAGTTGTTGGTCTCTATATACCATTGTTTCCCAAAGACTGGGTCGCGACCCTCAGGTGGGTCGCAAGAGGTCTTGCATCATATTGTCCAGGAGTTTATGAATATTGTCTATTGACTCAAAAGTTTGGGAAACACTGCTATATACGACAGTTAAAGTGTCCAGGATTTACCCTTCTTCACCCGATCACCTCACATCATCGGCTCCAGCTCCAGTTTTCTAGTTTTTGGTAGTTTGGTAATTTTCTGATGATGATCTGATAATTAGGACTTTGGAAGTTTAAACAAATGGAAGAAATTTCTACCTTTAAAACAACTAAGTTACTGCGTGTGTCTGTCCCTCCAAGAGTAGCTGCATCTGTGGAGGTTTGAAGTAAAGCTCCTCTCAGCAGCCCCTGGTGTTCAACTCTTCACAGTGCCATTATTTTTCCTGAGAATTTCTCACCAGCAGAGGACGCCCTCTGCATCCACGTCCCTGTTTAACAGAGTAAACCTTGATCTAGAGTGCTATGTGGATGAGTGTGCGACGACCACGGTGATGATTTCTCGTTAACAGTAGAGAAGCTGACTGATGACGTAGAGAGTGCTGTGCCTCTGGTCTCTGCGGTGTTTTCTTTTGTTTAAATAATTATTAAATACTTGAATCACACGTTTTTTATTTTATTGTATTTTTTATTTGGTAGTTTTAATAGTTTGTAGTTTAAAAAACTTAAAAAAATTTAAAAACTAAATTTATTTTTAATTTAATAAATATATCAAATTGTTTTGTTTTTTAGGTTTTTTTTTTTTTTTTAATATATCAAATTGTTTTGTTTTTTTTGTTGTTGTTGCTTTCCCCCCCCAAAGCTGTTACCTGACTAACCACTGTATGTTAGCATGTGTGCTTTCAGGTCTATTTCCTATTTCCCTATTTTCTCATCAGCTGCAAATTCTACTGGATCACCAGTGAAGCTGGCCAGTGTGGGGGCTCAAACACGCTGCTCCGCTCTGTGATTTTTCCATGTGTGAAAATACTGATTGTTTGTCTGAAGGACAATTCAGCTCAAGGCAGAGCTTCCTGACACTGGAGTCGGAGCCCAGTCTGCTGATTGTGCTGATCCTGGTGTGATAAACTGCAGGGTGCATTGTTCAAATCTAGCCGTCCCTCGTCCACCCCCTGGTTTGTGCCGAGCTGTGTGTGAATCGGAAAGGCGATTGTTGTGACGTCAGATCTCTGACAGGTTCTGTGACAATACAAAGAGGATTAAAGTGAGACCCTCATTGTGTGTTTGACAAGGCCAATAGCAGATGGGAAGAAGCGAGAGGTTTTGGTCTGGAAGGACCGCAACCTCCTGCCCGAGGGGAGTGCCTCAAAGAGTTTGTGACCGGGGTGAGAGGGGTCGGTTACTAGCCGTTTTTGAAATTTGTTTCTGAAACTCTGAAATAGTTTCAGTTCTGCTTAGACTGTCACCGTATGTCACCGCACTTCAACAGAAAGATGATCTGAACCTCAGCCCAGAGGACTTAACTGATCTCTGGCCATCTAGTGGTCCAAACAGGAACTGCAGGGAAAGACTGCAAAAAAAGAAACAAACAAAAAGAATACTATTTTGCGCCTTTTATATAAAAACATTTATATGACATTGGTTTTATTTTTAGTATTTAATGCAAAATAGCCGGATACATTTACACACTGCGGTTTAGTTAAAAAACACCAACAACAACTTTGTACAATATATATGTAGTCTACATTTTCAAAGGTTGGTGTTTACTTATATAAAAAAATCCAAGTTACCTGAATAAAAACAAAGCCAGGATCTTTTAATACAAAAACTGTGAATATATTTGTACAGAAATATACTTGACTGATCACAGAACAAATCCGCGTCAGTTTGAAAGGCGTCACAGCAGGACAGTATTTACAGAGAGGCTGTTTAAACCAGACCTGCAAGACAATGAACTGAAATGATTTTAATACGGTTATTTAAAAAAAAAATCAACATTTTAGTCTTTTTTGATATTACAACAGAAACAATACTTCATCACTAAGGAGTTGCCCAAATTTGTGGCAGAGAAAATCAACAGAAAAAGCTGCTGGTAGATGACGTCACACTCAGATTCAGGTGTTTAGACCTAAATGAAGGCTGTGTAGAAAATAGCTTAATTTTTCAGTTTTAAATGTTTTTTTTTTATTATTATTTACATTCAGTACGAGCACTGGCTCCCGTTCCCAAACTGACACAGACATTAGGAGAGAGTCTGAAATTCTTCAGAGATGTCAATGACTTTCAACACGAACCAAGTACACAGGAGGGCAGCTGGTGGGGCCAAAGTTGGACATATGGTCCAAAGACTCTGGAGACACACACTGGTGCACACTTTACTGAGTGAGCAATTTAAAACAACAACAAAACCACATCTGTAAAAACAACAACACTGGTTTACCCGTTTCTCAGCTCAGCGTCTGGAATTAAAAGTCTCGGTGAACAGTTTATGCACTGCCTTTATACATAATGTTTCCTATCGAAGTCTCCGTTGACTGCGATGCTCTTGGTGGGGGTGTATTTGATGGAATAGTTGCCCCGAACCAGCTGAGAGAAGGAGCAGCACAGCAGGCTGCCGCCGAGGAGCAGCATCGCGGCGGCCGCCCAGCCGATGTAGATGGCCGCCCCGATCTCCCGTTTCTTGGACGGCGGCACCTTCGGGTCGTAGAAGTCCACGATGATGTTGTTGGCAATCCAGCACAGAGGCACCAGCACGAAGAGACCGCTGAGGATGTAGATGACACCGGCGGCGTGCACCACCCTGGTCTTCACCGCCTCATCCGTGATGCAGACGGTGTACTGCGCCCCGGCCACCGCCACCGCGAGCGCCACAATCCCGAACACCGCGGAGATGACGGTGAGGGCGCGCGCCGTCTGCAGGTCCTGAGCCAGCGCCAGGACGGAGTCGTGGACTTTGCACTGCATCTGGCCCGTGCTCTGCACCACGCACGACATCCACAGACCGTCCCAGATGGTCTGAGCCACCACGATGTTCGAGTCGATGAAGGCGGTCACCTTCCACATGGGCAGCCCGCAGGCCACCATCACCAGGAGGGTGCCGACGACGCACACCGCCAGGCCCAGACCCTCCAGACACGCAACTAGCATGGCTCTACTTTGAGGCGGTCCTGAGGAGAGAGAAGAGGAGGTAGTTGCGGGTGTGGGCCTGGTGTCTGCGTCTGAGTCTGAGTCTGAAACTGCTAAATGAAGTCTTTCAATCAGAGAAGCGTCATTTAAGGCCGCTCCTCCAGCAAAACTGAAGGCTCAAACTTTCAACCAATGAGCAGCCGAAGCATCCCTAGCTCAGCCAATGAGATGTCCACGAGATGTCCAGCTCCGTGGGTTCGCTGCACTGGTATGGGTGAGTTTCTGTTATACATATTCTTATTCTTTTCACCTCTGCCCTCGACCATCTCCCCAGTGTGGATTTTAAAAACAGTTCAATCTAATCTAATCCAGATGGAAAATGAATGTATGAGCAGATCCAATGACTTTTGTTTAATACCTTGTTGTCATTGTACATACTGTAAACAAACAACCCAGGACATTTGATAAAAGCTAAACATTGTCATGACACCCTCCATTTTACTCGTTCTCCCCGTTGGACACCTTGTCCTCTGCATGGACGGAACACCGTGTGCAGTGGACACAGAGATCATGTTGAAATGTTCCATTGTCCTCTGACTGTGTTGTTGAAAAGTGCCGTCAGCTCCCTTTATGTATTTGTGCCTTAAGTGCACGCACAACCACGGTCGCCCTGACACACACATCCTATGTCACAGAGCGATGACAGAGATGCTGAGGGACCACACAGTACGGGGAACGGAATGTTGCAGAAATCCACTCAGCAGAAGTGGATTTGGTTCTTAGGATGAAGAGAACTTGACCTTAAAGGACCTGGACGTTGAGCTGGAACACACTTGTGCAGTATGAGACATTAGGTTTGTTATTCAGAGTGTAAAGAAAATATCCATACACTACAACAGGCGTGGGTAAACTTTTTGACTCATAAAATCCAACAGAGGTGCCGGGTCAGGAGCAGAGAGACGGAGAGTTCGTGTGAACTAAGATAAATGACCTGTAAAAACCTAAAATGCTAAAATGCTTTTAGCATTTTCTACGCCATCTATTGGGGAAATGTGAGTATTGCAGGGAAAAAACAGAAATATAACGACATCCACAGACCGTCCCAGATGGTCTGAGCCACCACGATGTTCGAGTCGATGAAGGCGGTCACCTTCCACATGGGCAGCCCGCAGGCCACCATCACCAGGAGGGTGCCGACGACGCACACCGCCAGGCCCAGACCCTCCAGACACGCAACTAGCATGGCTCTACTTTGAGGCGGTCCTGAGGAGAGAGAAGAGGAGGTAGTTGCGGGTGTGGGCCTGGTGTCTGCGTCTGAGTCTGAGTCTGAAACTGCTAAATGAAGTCTTTCAATCAGAGAAGCGTCATTTAAGGCCGCTCCTCCAGCAAAACTGAAGGCTCAAACTTTCAACCAATGAGCAGCCGAAGCATCCCTAGCTCAGCCAATGAGATGTCCACGAGATGTCCAGCTCCGTGGGTTCGCTGCACTGGTATGGGTGAGTTTCTGTTATACATATTCTTATTCTTTTCACCTCTGCCCTCGACCATCTCCCCAGTGTGGATTTTAAAAACAGTTCAATCTAATCTAATCTAATCTAATCCAGATGGTTGGACAATGTATGAGCAGATCCAATGACTTTTGTTTAATACCTTGTTGTCATTGTACATACTGTAAACAAACAACCCAGGACATTTGATAAAAGCTAAACATTGTCATGACACCCTCCATTTTACTCGTTCTCCCGTTGGACACCTTGTCCTCTGCATGGACGGAACACCGTGTGCAGTGGACACAGAGATCATGTTGAAATGTTCCATTGTCCTCTGACTGTGTTGTTGAAAAGTGCCGTCAGCTCCCTTTATGTATTTGTGCCTTAAGTGCACGCACAACCACGGTCGCCCTGACACACACATCCTATGTCACAGAGCGATGACAGAGATGCTGAGGGACCACACAGTACGGGGAACGGAATGTTGCAGAAATCCACTCAGCAGAAGTGGATTTGGTTCTTAGGATGAAGAGAACTTGACCTTAAAGGACCTGGACGTTGAGCTGGAACACACTTGTGCAGTATGAGACATTAGGTTTGTTATTCAGAGTGTAAAGAAAATATCCATACACTACAACAGGCGTGGGTAAACTTTTTGACTCATAAAATCCAACAGAGGTGCCGGGTCAGGAGCAGAGAGACGGAGAGTTCGTGTGAACTAAGATAAATGACCTGTAAAAACCTAAAATGCTAAAATGCTTTTAGCATTTTCTACGCCATCTATTGGGGAAATGTGAGTATTGCAGGAAAAAAACAGAAATATAATGATAATATAAATAAATGATATAATTTGGAAAGGTTTGGCGGACCGGATTTAAAAGCTGAACGGGCCACATCCAGCCCCCGGGCCTTAGTTTGCCCATGCCTGCACTGCAGTATCACAATATCATATCGATATTCTGCAGCACTATCAATTTTTTATTTATTAACAATTAACAGTTCATGGCGTTGGTTCGTTTTATTTTGGTTTTCCTACAATTAAACTGTTTTAAAAAGACTCCATATGTTGTCGTGCCTAGAGTATCACAGTAAATTACAGATATCGTATTGTTATCCCTGCATCGTGATACGTGTCGTATCACCAGATTTCTGCCAATACAGACCACTATTTGTTAGCGAAAATGTTTTTGATGTTGTTGGCCAGTAACAATTCATGATTTCTGTCTCAAATGTCACTGGACTGTAACAGCATGAGGTTCCAAGATTGGAAAAAAAAATTCCCAGATTTTACTTTTCATCATAAAGAAACGGTACTTATAGTAGTTACAATGGCCGATAAAATATTCCCACTGGAACAGCTGTACTCGATCACGTTGACAGAAAATCTTTAGGTCTTTGTTCTAGACATGTTTCAATTTAGGAATTTGGAGCAAGTGCGACCCCTGGGAACAACCGAGAACATTTCCAGGTATAATAGCAACTTCCTCAGAAGGTCACAGTCTGATGAGATGGGGTAACGGTGAAGTCGGCCAAAATGACTCTCCGATGACTGGCTACAAGCTTAGCTTCCTCTAAAATGTCACAGTGTCTTATTTACCTTTCATTTATTCAAAGCCATTCAAATGTGATCAACTACTGTATGTAACGGGTCGTTCTTTTTATCACTGATCACCTCAAACTGTTTGGCTTTTCGATGTTCGTGTGTAAACTCTTCTTCTTTGGACCAACACCAGGTAGAGAGTTCACCACAGGAGCTGGAAACTCACCATCACTTCCTTCAGTAGGGCTCTAAGGAAAATGCACAGGATCGTTGTCTTGTTAAAGGGGGGTTTGCTGGTGACATCTACAGGCAAAACTGCAGCCTGCTGTGTCCTGTTGTTCAGTGATGTTAGCATTTGTGTGTCATTGCTTTTTTTTTATAGTTAAATTTTTTTTTTTTTAGTTTAACATGGTGGAATTTATTAGCAATTTTTAAACTATTAGATGAACGATAACATGAAATACAACAACATCTGATAAAAACCTTGCTGAGGGAGTATGTCAATAATTTTATGTTACTTATTGTGGGTTTATTCTGTCAGTGTCTAACCAGCAGCAACAGTTAACTAAAACTGTTTGCTTGTTGGTTTTTCCATTCAGTAACTGCAGCAGATTGTGCCCGCCTTCCAGAATCTAACCATCCAATCACAGCCACCTTTAATTGGAACATCACTGGCTGTAAAAAAAAAAAATGGATTTGTTGGTTTCACATATGCCAACACCGACACACAGAGTCTGAGCAGGAACCACTGAAATGTTGACTTTATTTAAAATGCTGTTGTGGTTGGGTCCGTTTAAAAATCAACATCCTGTTCACCCATTAGCATAATGTAGGGCGGTGTGTGTGTGTGTGTGTGTGTGTGTGAGATCTGTGTTTCTATGCTGTTTACCACCACCAGAAAAAGTATTCAGATAAAGAAGTGGACCACACCTGCTGTAATTAGTCTTCTCATGTGGAAGATGAACAATCTCCGTGATTCAGTTGTAGTAACAAGGGGCTCTGAGTCAGACTGCTGCTATCAAGATGGGGGTGCCCCTTCGTTTCAATGCCACAGCAAATAAACACAAACAGGGTGGAGGAAGAGCTGGCTGCAGAGATAAAGTCTAAAATAAGCAACAACAAACTTCATCAGGGATTCAGGACTGGAGTGGACTTTAGTCACACGATGGATTCACGGTCACAGTTTCAGTTCTACCTGACACATATCCACCAAAAAATATAAAGAGCAATATAACAGTTTTTTATTTTATATAAACTCGAGGGTGAGGATGCAGACGATTGGGCTAAACAAATACTGACAAAATCAGAGTCAACCTCTTCTAGGGGACAGCCCAAACAATAATGAAACACAGATGTTCAACTGGACAAAACACAGGAAGAATGTGATTGGCTAAAATCCTGGTTCCACCAAGACGTTTCTCTGCGGCGTCGAACCTCTGGCCTCTGCACCTGTACGAGTAAAAATGACATCAGGAAGAAAAGGAATAAGAATAAAACGTTGTTTGATTTATTGTTTCTTGTCTTCAACAACAGGAGTGGACAAAAATGTCTCTGCGACTTCTTTGGTAAGTGCTTAACGTTCACATCACAACTGGGTAAAATAAAATAAATATGTAAATATGTATATATATTTATATTTAGTCAATTAAGCCTTTCTCTAACGCTGATGTAATCAGTGATAACACTGTTGTCACTGGAGGTTAGAGGGAACAGGTGTTTCTCCAACGTGGACGTCGTCCTGGTGAAAAACAACATTCCTTTGAACAAAAGTAAAAAAAAAACACAAAGCCTGGAAAGCTCATCATATTTTCTGCACACACACACACACACACACACAGGAGGGTAACTATGTCACGTAGTAGATGTGTTGCTCATAAAAAAGTGTTTTCCTGTTGGCTGAGTAACACAAATCTTAATTTCCCATCAGGCTGTGGTTGCGGCCATCAGAATGACCCCCCCCCCCCCCCCCCCCCCCCCCCCCCCCCCTCTTCCCCCTCCCCCCCCCCCTCTCTTTTAATCCCCTTCCTCTCTGTCTCTCACTCTCTGTGTATTATTTCACTAATATATATTGTATGTGCAGCCAGATGTGTCATGTACCGAGGCTGGGTATTTCCTTCCAACTAACTGGAGTTCGATCCCTGGTTTTAACTGATGGACGTCTTTCAGGAGTTTGCAAGAAGGTTTTCACAAAGAGGCGTCATTTATCACATTATTGAAACACTGACTCATTCACACGAAACATACAGAATTCAGAGAGACTCCTTGTGTTTCCTCTGCCTCCAGTGTTGGTTCTGCTTTTTTTTTTTTTTTTTTTGGTGTGTTTCCTGTGCAGCTGCGTTTAAGGCAGTCTGACTTCTGACTGCGAGAGTGGAGATGCAGCGGCGTTTGGTTGTTCTGTGACTTCCTTTACTCCCTATTGTTACTGCCATCCTAGGGGAACACCCTAACCGCCTTTCTCTTCCTCATAGCTGCCTTTATTATGTACTTTGAAACAGCACCTGCTGGGCACTCACATGCAACAGATGCCTGGTCGGGCACTGACAGCAAGCATCTAACCCTTCAAAGTTACTTGTTGAAGGCCCAGACCCAAAGATAAATCCTCTCACTTAAATCCAGTCAAAAAGTACTGACAAGGGATGGATGGATGGATGGATGGATGGATGGATGGATGGATGGGTGGATGGATGGATGGATGGCCTGAGGTTGCTGAAATATTTATTTTGACTTGATTGAATATGTTGCTGTTCTTCGTCTGTTAAATTGACTTTTCATGACATTATATTCCATTTTCCCTCCTCGTGTACTCAGTTAGATCATTTCCTGTGTAAACGCCACTGTTTCCTGTCCGTGGCGAACTAGAGTATTACAGATAACGAACTTTTCAGTCTCATTTTTCTTTTGCTGTATGTTCTTTTCTTTGTCTTTTCTCTCTCCGTGTTCTCTCTTTTCACTCCTTCACATTAGAAAAGTTCAATTCAACCACAACAACAACAACTTCACCAACAGAACGTCAGTAATCCTCAGTTCAGCCCGACACCTGAAACCCCAGGATGGTGAGGTCCAGAGAGTTCCTACATGTGCCTTTGACACCGTGTTGTTTTTGTTTTGTTCAGTCTTTTCCTCCTGCTTCCATCTCTCCCTCCCTCCTCTGCTTCCATTGTTCCTCCTCCTCTGACAAAGACGGAGAAGGCTGCCTGGGAACAAAGGGCACTTCCTCCCGAGTGGTCAAGTGCTCACTGGTCGCTCAGGAGTCAGCTTCTTACACATGAGATGGGCCATTGTACAGAGCTGAGCTGCAGGCCTTCCTGCCTCAGTCCGTTTCCGAGATGAAGTCATCTGCATCTGTGTGTGTGCGGGCACTTCTTGCCAACGGTTCCTTAATGGGACCCTTACTCACACGACAGTTTGTGACAGGTGTACAAAAAAAAAGTTAAAAATTGAGATTTTTTTCTTTTCTCCTTCAGGGGTCACCACAGCAGATCATATGCCTTCATCTCCAAACTGCTCCACCTTAACTGGCCCTCTGATCTGCTCATCTGTGACCCTGTCCATCCTGGTCACTCCCAGTGAAGATCTCAGCATCTTCATCTCCTCCACCTCCAACTCAGTCTTTGGTCTGTGAGACAGAGACACTGTCTCTAAACCACACATCACAGCAGGTCTCACTACTGAACCTGAACCTATTCTTCTGTCACAGATCACTCCTGCCGTTTTGTAGAGACTCAGCTGGTATATATATGTATAAATATACATATATATACGTATATATACATACATATATATATATACATATATACACATATATATACATACATATATATGTATATATATACATATATATGTGTATATATGTATATATATATATATATATGTGTATATATATACATATGTATGTATATATATGTATATATATATATATATATATGTGTATATATATATATATGTATGTATATATATGTATATATATATATGTATGTATATATATGTATATATATATATATGTATGTATATATATGTGTATATATGTATATATATATGTATGTATATATATGTGTATATATGTATATATATATGTATGTATATATATATAGTAAATCCATGTTTAGAGGCTTACTTTGGTAATGTAAAAATCAGTGTTCCAGTGTTTGAGGACAAAGGTTATCGTGGACTGGCCAGCCCCTGGGACATAGAGAAAACGTCCCAGGAGTCCCTCATTCTTTAGACCCCACCCCACTCCCCCCAGAGCCCCCTCAAGCAACATAAAAACCCTGACACCACCCACACAGCCAGCCAGCACAGGAAACAGTCAGTATATGGCGACCTGCTGTGGCCTGCACTCCCACGCTCTCATCATTGTTTCCCTGCTGTCTTTTCCTCCTCCACTTCCTCCTCCTCTTCCTCCTCCCTCAGGTATAGCACTGTAGTTGACTCTGAAACACTACCCACCAACGCTACCTGCCGCCGCAGGACCACTGTACCTTACACTTCTGCCTGTCAGTGATTCAGAAGTCTGACGCATCAGTGTGTGATGTAGCATTAGCACACTAGTCTGTCGTCTGTTTGACTTCTATTATGTCAAAGTTTGACTTTTCACCTGGGCCAAGGTTTTACCATTGTTAATAACTTACTATTGACCTAAGGGGTTTGTTGTTGTTGTTGTTGTTGTTCCATGTGAGCAGCTTTTAAACAGTTCTGTAGCAATAAGGATATAGGCAACAATTTGGAGGATTTATATACTATATATATATATATATATATATATATATAAGCAGGTGCTGAGACACAGTGGGAGAGTGAGGAGCCTTACTGCTCTCTCTTATCTACACATGTACTTTATAGGAGAAACATTGAAAACCTGTGAATCAGTTCATTATCTCATCGAATGTGTATGATATTACTGCTGTTATTAATGTGACAGGGCTGTTGTAATTTATCTTTATTTTCCTACCACATCAGTCTGTGACTTTCTCAAACCGACACAGCGTCACACTGCCACCTTCTGGCCTTTTGCCTAGATTGCAGACACTGGGGTTGTTTCCTAAATCACTCACGAGTCACGGGTTAAATGAAAAGCAACACACACACATGCCACTGTTACCACTGTTAATACATCATTAACAAAAAAACTGTATCCAACTCGTTACTGCGTCCTGTCTTGGACAACTTGACCTGCGACCCGACTTCCGTCTCTCCAAGACCACAGCAGCCCATTTAAGCAGCCCATTTAAACAGCCCATTCAAGCAGCCCATTTAAACAGCCCGTTTAAGCAGCCTGATCCTGCGCTCTCCTGACCGTGGTTGGAGTCGGGACTTGGAAACACAGCTCTTTCTCGTTTGGTTGTTTAAATTTGCTTTAATTTTCTTTCCTTTACAACCGGGGGGTGAGTACATTCATCCATCGTCAAACAAGTTTTTTGGGCAGACCAAAGCGTGTTTAGCTACAGAAGAATTTGTTTAAAAAATAGTCACAAGAATCAATACTAAGTTGATGTTATCATGGTCTCACCAGATATTTCCGCAGTGATTAAAAAACCTTACAAAAATAAAAAATAGGTCTCACCAGATATTTCCGCAGTGGTTAAAAAACCTTACAAAAATAAAAAATAAAAAAATCCCACCAAGCAACGTGGTCTTGTCTTCCCTCACTGTTCGCCGAACTTTCTTTCGCTGACGTCACTCAATGTACACGTTAACGTTCTACAATAAGCGGACGATGATGGATGGATGAACTAAGGAAAGCGTAACGTATTATTTTTAAAGCATTATTTGATCTGTTATTAATTCGTTAATGTCCCAGCTATTGTTTAACCTCTAAACTACTTCTACTTTAGTAGAAGTAGAAGGATTTGAGTATCCCTCGTGTTTCTTACAAGGGGAAAAAGCGTGCCTGAACAAACAAACAAAAGTTTTAAAATGGCTGGACCACCAGCAAAACATTAAAACAATAAATGACACCTGGAAGTTTTAGTGATCTAATGTGCCTTTAAGAAGAAACTTGGCGCTGTCTGAAGACTTTAATTGACAACAGTTGACAACAGTCCTGAGGAAAACAAAGTAGTGTTTAATTATTATTATCATCTTCTCACAATACACAGCACCAAAGTGGGGCAGTGACTTCAACAGAAGCTACAGAAACAAATCCAGATCATCCATGCCTCACATGAAGTGACAGATCTTCAGTATTGATACGCTCATGTTTAGGTGGGTGTGTGTTTTCAGGGGAAGGGGCGTCTCTTTTCTTCCAACATTTGTGGAGAAGAAAATAAGAAGAAAATAAAAGTGAAGATCGCACAGTCCGTGTTCGTGCTGTGAAGGTGGGTTTGTCTACAGCTCATACCTTACGCGGCAATGCAGAAGCAGAACATGAAGAACACTGAGATGATGAAACAGCTTCAAGACAAAGCTAAGCCGAGACTCAGCACTAAACTTGACTTAAGAGAGCCCGACGACAGCAGGGAGCGGGGACCGGGGTGGCTGTTCAGACGCAGCAAACCGACAACCGTTGACCTCGGCGGGTCCAACTTCTCCTCTGAGCCCGATCTGCAATTCTGCCCCGGTAATGACGAGGGTTCAGGACGGGGAACGGACAGACCCTTCAAGTTCACGACAAAGTGCTCCCCTCCGGTGAGTCTCGCGGGGCCAGTGGGCAGCAGCGGGGGATGGCAGGTAGGTTAACTATGTCGGAGGGGAGGTTCTTCTGTAATATGATCTAACTATCTTTACATTTGATATGGCATTTCTGTGAAGCAGCGTAACAAGTTGGTTAAGGCATATGGACAATGAAAAATATACCAAAAAAAATCACGCAACTTTTGTTGTTTGTTTAGCCATAACCGAATGAATTAAATAAAACTTCAATTTAATAAAAAAGATTTCCTTGACATGGTTAATTAATTTAATTGATCATATTCGCAGCAATTTCCTAATACATGATAAAAACAAACCTGCAGTGGACAGAGCAAAGCGACGTTAGTCATTGCTCAGCTCTGAGGTATTGCTTTCAGTGTTTAACTGGTAAATGTTACTGAAGACCTCAAACAAACCAAGATGCCTTCAGCTTTATGTTATATATATATGATCTAACTTGTTCTCATTGTGTGTGTTTTGGTTTCACAGTCCCTTTTCCTGCTTGCGTTGTCTGTCTTCAAACATTCATTTTTAAATATTTTTTCTTTCAATAGGACATCGCTGCTCCATCAGGGTCCAACTCTGAGCACGCCTCCAGCATCTATAAACTGGAAATTGAAATACAGCGAGGCCAGAATCTGGCCATACGAGATAGACAAGGTAGGATCGTGTCATGTGAATTACTCGTTGGTGTTTTTGTCCTTTCTCGCCGATCTACGTCTGTCAGAACTGTCTTTGTCTTCGTAGGCACCAGTGATCCATATGTGAAACTGGCATTCGGCAGTAAAGATGTGTTCAAAAGCAAAACCGTCTTCAAGAATCTGAACCCAGTGTGGAATGAGAGGACATGTCTGTTTGTCTATAGTCTGAGTGAGCCTCTGAATGTCAAGGTAAGGGTGCCGACCAGGATTGGGCAAACGTTTTGGGTCGTTGGCTCACAATGAGTAATAAAATCTGACTGGCCAGTGCCATATGAATACCTTTGTAACAGTGGTCAATGGGCCAGATTACAAAGCCCGATGGACCATATTGGGCCTGTGGGCCATACTTTGCCAATGCCTGGTGTAGAATCACACTGTTTAACATTATTAAATATTGGACAGAAAAGCTACTTAGAATGTATTCTTTGCTTTTTGTTAGGTGTTTGATCATAACGTTTTATTCACTGACGACTTCATTGGTTCTGCATACCTGCAACTGGACTCGCTAGAGCAACAGAGGTAAAGTTACTTTCAAAGCTTTTTTTTCCCACACTAAAGAGCTAGTTAGGTTTGGCTGTACTGTGCTGTATAACTAAAACAATGGAAAGGCTGAAAGAATTTGTGTTCATTTTTTACAAGACAAAGAAGCTGCTGTTCTTGTTCTGTATTTGGTGTCACATCCTTAAATCTAAATATAGGACGTCAAATGACCCGCAGTGGGCTGGTGCGATATAAAAACACTACTTATTGACAAAATGTTGTCTCACCGATTACTGATGTTGATATTAGGATATCTGTGGTAAAGCATTTGTGTCCAATCCTATAAAATGCACAGCACTATAAAATGTTTTTATGTGCCTCTTTATTATTGATTATTGAGTGATTGCCTTTTTGTGAGATACAAAATGATCAAAATGACTAAATTGAACTGTCATTGAGTCAAATTATATGTTTAAGATGTGTCCATGTTATACGTATGTGTTGTAGCTTTTATATATTGTATGGAATTTTCCTTTCAAATGATAATACATTTTTTTCTAGAGATCAAACAGTATACACAACTAGTGTTATGAACAAAAATATTGCTGATGTGTTTTCAAACACAAATATAGTAAGAAAACATTGTCTCGCTAACATATTTGTGGAAAGAAAACATCAAAAAATGTGAAAAATTAAATCCATGTTGCATTTCTTGAAGAATGTTAATGTTGCCACATACAGTTCAATTTTAAATGTTGTTAAACGTTAAGTCATTTTAGAGATGAATTATAATTCTGTACTACAGGACTACACCAATAACACTAGAGCTGAAGGATCCGCAGTTCCCCGATGTAGACCTGGGCACAGTGGAGCTGGCAGTCACCCTGACGTCTGAACTGTGTCCTATAGATGAGCAACCACACATGATGGTATACAGTAAACACTGGGGTTATAAAACTCTCCTTTCAAATAACCATTATATCTAATACTTAATATGTTATTGTTGTGTTGTTCTTTATAACTTCAGAATGATGTTTAAATATGGAAGCTAATGGGTCAAAGGAGCAGTGTGTGATGTAAATAATCATTACAAAAAGGACCTTTTCAAGCATGATATCATTGTATAATTATCATTCAAATGGACCTGTGTTTTTTGGACAAGCAGCAGCAGGCTCCAAAGTCCCTACTGTGGCAATGGATTGTCAGCATTTCCTTGATCGAAGGCCGCGGCCTCCTGCCTATGGATCCTAACGGTCTGAGTGACCCGTATGTCAAATTCACACTGGGTCAGCAGAAGTACAGGAGCAAGGTCTGATCCTCCCTTTACCTCTGTAGTGAAGTCGTTTTAAAGACAAGAGTCTTTGAGTTATTCAGCTTCTGTGTTCTCAGGCTCTGCAAAAGACACTGAATCCTCAGTGGAGGGAACAGTTTGATCTGCATCTCTATGATGAGAAGGATGGAGTGCTGGAGATCTCGGTGTGGGACAGAGACACTGGAAGTAAAGATGACTTCATGGGAAGGTGAGACATTTTTAAAAAATGTATTTAAGGAGGATCTCTTCTACTAACAAAATGAAATCCTAGTACAGTAATACCTTGAGATACGAGCATAATCCATTCCAGGACCGAGCTTGTATCTCAAATCATTTTTTCCCATATGAAATAACAGCAAAAAAATTATTTGTTTGAATTGTTCAGCTGTAAGCTGGACCTCACTGCCCTGGCCAAAGAACGAAAGCATCACGTAGTTCTGCCACTAGAGGACTTCCGGGGTTATGTGGTCTTGCTGGTCAGACTCAGTGCTTCACCCTATGAGTTCATTGCTGACCTGTCAGTCACTCCACTGGACAACCCCAACGAACGCAAGGAGATACTCGAACACTACGTAGGCCCCATTAACCACACTGTTAAAAATGTATCCATAGCTGAGGTCCTAATTTCAGCAGAACTGTGATATCAGTCATTCTGTTTCTTCAGGGTGTGTGGAAGTCATTCTCCAATGTTAAAGATGTAGGATTAGTGCAGGTGAGGGTGTTGAGAGCTGAGGGCCTCTCTGCTGCAGATGTCAATGGTAATTTTTCACAAACTCCACAAAATACCGTAACTGTTCTTGTTACTTTGGCTGCTTTTAATGTCAAAACTGGATCTCACTGTTTTCCCAGGTAAGAGCGACCCTTTCTGTGTGTTGGAACTAAATAATGAACGTCTTCAGACACACACTGTCCAAAAGAATCTCAATCCAGAGTGGAATAAGGCCTTTACCTTGTGAGTGACTCTTTTTTTTTCATTGTATTGAACAGATCAGGGTTCAGAAACAGTTTAAAAGACAGGGTTTAAAATACAATTTTAAATAAAAACAAAATCCATTTGTAAAGCAAGACAAAATTTTGAAAAAACTCAGTGAGATGTACTGGTAAGGAAAAGTTACACCTGTGGCCAACAGTGGTAAAAGAAATTAGCAGTTTGTCATCTTAAAACAGGTAAAACAGTGCATAACTTCAAAGAGAAGAAAAGGAATACATGAAATTGAAAGAATCAAATCTTTACTTATTTTTTTACCCACAATAACCATACAGTGCTACAAAGTGCATAATGAAGATTTATATTGATATTTATGTATTTATATTTTTATGTGAACAGACGTTAAAAAAGACGACTATGTTTTGCAAAGATATCTATCTTTCTGTCTGTGCCCTTCGCTTGGTTTCTATCTCTTCCACAGTAATGTGAAAGACATCCACTCAGTGTTGGAGGTGACGGTGTTTGATGAGGACAAGGACAGACGTGCTGACTTCCTGGGGAAAGTAGCGATCCCCTTATTACGTGTAAGTTTAAATGGACGTGAACCTGAAATCTGTCTGCATGTCATCGTCAATTATCTCAAATATCTGGAAGTTGAATTATATATATATATATATATAGTCTATTGTATGTCGTTATCCGTTTATAAAACATGCCGCTAACATGCTATCGTACATACAGCATATGCACGACAACGTAGCACACAGCTAATGTGCGGCTAATTTGATACGAGCTTGCGCGTTGCTAAAGCACAGCTAGCATGTCAGATCCTCACCTGTTGATAACATGCGACATGCGTTAGTAACACTCAATATATTTTTTCTCGCAAGTATATAAAAACGTTTCCACAACTGAGTAGCAACTAACGCAAAGTAAACGAAATAACCAAATAAGGCAAACCGCACACTTAGTTTCGTCGTGACTTTGGGATAAATAGCAATCGTTAGCTAAGAAATAGCAAGAGAAGTAATACTTCCGAGATCATGGCAAAACATGACAGACTTCTCCAAATAAAACGGAAATGTATCACAGATTTATTATTTAATAATAATTAATTTTGATATTATGTGCTTTGGGTTGGATCCACAATGCCCCCAAACACAGACATAATATGTCTTTTATTACTGTTTAGAATTTAATGTCAGTCTGGGAGCCTAAGGCCTAGGCCTTAGACTTTCATTTACAACAGTCATTATACAGAACAACACAAGACCTGGTATAAAGCAAACATATGAGAACATTTGCAAAATAATGGCATCGACATAATGTGATAAACTATAGTAACTTTCCATAGTTTTAAATATGTAAAAAGAAGTGTGAGTCAGTCACAGTGACTCTGTTGGCCTCTTAGGTTCGTGATGGTGAGCTGAAGGGATACGTGTTAAAAAACAAGGAACTAACTCATCCAACCAAAGGTGTCATCTACCTGAAGATCGATGTCGTCTACAACACCGTGAGTATCAGTAGGTGCTGCGTGTCAACGTAAACTGAGACCCTCCTATGTTGACAGGTTATAGGAGATACGTACATGTGGAGACCCTGTACTTTCCCTCTGGTCATCGGTTATTACCTGGGCCTTGAGGCAAAACATCCTTTGAGTTGTCATTATTTGGTTCTTCTTAAGCTTCTATAAAATCTGGTTGCCTTTGTGTTGCAAACCTTAGCAATGCTGCAACACCCAGACAATCAAACCTTTTTTGCACCACAGACCGATTAAATGTTAAATGACAATTTTTTCACGGACCAGCCTTTAAGGTGTGGCAGATAAATACAACAAAATAAAATGATACGACCGGCATAAAAACCGATATTTTCTAAATATAATAATAAACGTTAAGCCACTGTGTATGCAGCTTTATTAGCAGCGTCCTCGTAAGATTGACCTTGTCTTTTAATGCAGAACACTTATAGTACACGTATTGAGTATGACATCACATGAACTCACTATCCTGAGTGTTAACGTTTCTTATTTGTCAGGTGAAAGCGGCTTTAAGGACTGTGGTGCCTGCACAGCAAAAATACGTTGAGGAGGAACCTAAAATTTCCAAGCAGGTATTTTACTATATATCTTACTGCACTAAGTATTATTCTGTATACAGTGGTGAAATGTGCCTAAGCGGTTGACCATTTCCACACAGTTGTGTATGTGAACACATAGATTAAGGAATGTGACTTACTGATGTGATTCAACAAAATAGCACTCTGGACATACAGTTTTCCTGGGATACATTTGAGTTCATTTAAGTTACGCAGTCGCAATATTCACAAAGCATATATTAGGAATTGTGAGAGATCTTCAATATCTTAAATCACTTCTAAAAATCTCATAACTGATGCTTTTGATATTCATATAAGTTGATATGGTTTGATGTAGTACAACATAGTTGAAAACAAGTCAATCAGGCTTCTGTATGATTGGATGGATGGATGAATGGATTCTTGTATTAAAAATTGGAAGCTGGCTGGTTGGAAGGATGGATGATGTGGATGTCGGATAGATGGATGAACAGTCATGGAAAGGTGAATGGACAGATGGATTGACATCTAAAAATTACTTGAGAAATGGTTACATATTTGCCAGCAGATGAGTAAAGGTTAACTAGAAATTGCTAACCTTCAATTTCATCTTCTTCTTCTTCATCATAGGGCAACAACAATAAACACTAAATGGACAACTCTATACAGAAAGTTAGATCCAGGGCTTGGATTAGTGACCTGCTTGCCATAAGGCAGGAGCAATAACCATCATGTCCCCTTTTTCAAATTGAACCAAACATTGTATTTGTTTTTTAGCTGCTGCAGAACAATTTGAACCGTGTGAAGCGATTCATCATGATCCTCATCAGTACTGCGAGGTACATCAACAGCTGCTTTCAATGGAAATCTACAAGGAGGAGCATCGTTGCATTTGTGGTAGGAAAATACAAAAGGATCCAGTTTATTTTATTTCTGCAGCAATGCTGCTGCTGCTGATGATGATAATGACTATGAAGATGAAGAGAGTCAGCACAATTTGACTTAAATGACAGGACAGTTACAGTGCCTTTATTCAAATTATGTAAGTCCCAACGTATCTTTATGTCAATATTTACTTTTTTTTAATAAGATGTTTTAAAAACAAACTTCTAGTATAATTACTAGAAGTTTGTTTTTTCCAAATCTGATTGTACGTCTCAAAGTGCCAATAATAAAGTATATGTGGATTTGTACTGCAATAACAAGAAGATTACTCTTCATCAACATTTACACTTCTATAGAACACAGTTAAACTTGACTGACATGTAATGTACATTTACTGCTCAGCTGTTTGTGCTGGTGGTGTGGAACTTTGAGTTGTACATGGTGCCCCTGCTGCTGTTCTTAGCACTGGTCTGGAACTACTTCTTCTGCCCAAGAGAAACCGATATGGTGAGAGAACACATACATCAGTTAGCTTTATAAAAAATATATATCTATCACAAATTGTCATCTTTGAACAAAATGTTTATTATTACAGGTAATATCTAACTGCGGGATTTATTCAGTGACACAACAAAGGTATAATTTTTTTCCCCCTGCATTTAACATAGGTCACGTTTGAGTGGGAGGTGGAAGAGGAGGATAAAGAAGACAAGGTGCAGCAGTATGGAAACACTTCTGTACAGTAAAGTACATTACAGTACTTACTTATAAAAGAAAGTCTAAGTCTTCTTGTGTTTTTCTAAAGGACAAAGGATTTATGCAAAGACTGTTTGCCATTCAGGAAGTGCTCATTGTCATACAGAGTGCATTGGATGAAGTGGCGTCCAGTGGAGAGAGAATAAAGAAGTGAGCAACACGGTCTTTTATTGAATGTTTTGTGGCACATGCAGGACAGAACAGAACTTCACTTTACAACCTTACAGCTTTACCAATCCTCCATGTACAGCCTGTAAGGTTCTTTTAGTACTATCATCATCACCATGTTCTCCCCAGCACTAACAAACTCTTTTTTGTTCTCTCACTACTGCAGCACCTTCAACTGGACAGTGCCGTTTCTCAGCTGGTTGGCCGCCACAGCCCTGTGTTTGGCCACGGCTCTTCTCTACTTCATACCTCTTCGATACCTCATCCTTGCCTGGGGTGAGTGCCAGTCACACATCAACACCTTCTATGCAGGTGCACGAAAAAGGACATGTACTCAGAGGTGCTCTTCTTTATTTCAGGTGTTAAAAAATTCACCAAGAAGCTCATTAATCCATACGTGATTGACAACAATGAACTCCTGGACTTCCTTTCCAGAGTGCCTTCTGACATTCAAGTGGTGAGTGATGCCATCTTGTTCAATCTTACTTAGAGTAATGGCCTTTTTTCAACACTTTTCAAGAGAAAGTATGCAAGTATAATCAGTGTTAGCAGCAATAACATGATTAACTTGTGATACATATAGTGTCTTTATATTACACAGTAGATCAACAAACACACGTGATTAACTTAACACAGGATCATCAGGATCGTTTCCTGTTGTGTTCGAACAAACTCGGGTCACACCGCTGCTCAGAAAACCCTCCCTTGCTTTAGCGATAGGACACCTGATGACGCCATTCTACCACACCAATACTACTACTGTATACTCATGTACATATGTACATATTATGCCGGTCCAACTATATATATATAATATGCATATATATCCTGAAATCTGATGTTGTTTCATTTCTGTGACAACTTCTCTTGTCTTCTCTTGTCTATCCAGCAAATTGACTTAACCTTTCATTTTCGTGATTGGTAAGCAGTTTTTCAGTTCTTCAAATTGCAACATAGTTAACTACTTGTGTGTGTGTGTGTGTGTGTGTGCGTGCGCATGTTGGTTACTGACTGACAGATGCAGTATCGTCAGCTGAAGGTTAACGTTGGACAAAGCCCTAGTTGGAGTAAGAGTAACAAGTTGAAACCATGAACTCAAACAGTTTAACTCACTGTCCGGCAGGACGTGACGCTTCAACAGGGGTTTCACATCAGTGATGCATCATTTGTAATAACGGTGGCGTCTTTAATTTTGCTGTTTATGTTTTATCAGGTTTATCAGTGCATCTTTGACAGAACCTTTACACTTTCTACCTTATATATATATATATATATTTGAACGTTTTTGAAAAATGTATATCTATTTTCTACATTTGTTAGGTGAAATGCTCTAAATACAGTATATGGATGTGTCTGAAACAAAGCTATGGCTCCAAACCTTATTAAACATTAGTTGTCTCTTAAAGACAAGGAGGGATCATGAAGAATTTTAGGCTCTGCTATAATCATAACTTGTATTAGTGTTCAGGTTCAATCAATAGAAAATGTATTAATATTTTTTCTAGAAATTGACTCGCCCTGGAAGGCAAAACTTTTTTTCTTTTTTTCATGCAATGTGAAGATTAGCCTCGAGATGGCGCCCAAGCTGTATATTAGCACCTGTGTGAGTGGCGCGGAAGTAGTCATGCTGTTTTTCCTGAACAGCATTTGACAACTTCACCAATGGTCAATGAATTAGATTTACTTTTGCCTCTCCTCCTTCTGCCACAATGAGGCCAATCATACAGCTGTCTTTCAAACTAAATTAATTGCATATTTTTTAAATAACAATAATAAACAAATTGATAACCAATGGAGTATACAGAAAAATACGGAATTAAAACATTCTGTAGCATGTTGTCAGTTGTTAGCCCTTTACTTTAGTGCAATAGATACATTCTAACAAATGACATACTGCAGGACATTACATTTAAGACCTTGCTGTAAGGTAGGGTTTCAAAGTGAGGGGTGCTATTTTTTTGTTTTGTCCCAAAGTAGGTTGATTTGTTTTTGAATCCTTTGTGTAATTTGTATGATTTATAGTGTTTTATAAGTAATTACACAATTGAATACAATTTACATTAATGCAATTTAAGGTACATTAAAAAAATAAATATATTTTGTATTTCCATTCTATGTTGATTTATTTTATTTACTGTATATTTTACAAATATAGTACATGTCATGATAACAGTAATGATGAAACTATTAAACAGTATGATTACAAATATAGTACATGTCATGATAATAATAGTAATGATGAAACTATTAAACAGTATGCTACCATTGCTTTAACCACAAATCATATAGAAACGCCACCTTGTGGTTGCAGGTGCAATAACACAATTCTACGGAGAGGGATCAGTTTGTTGCTAATTCAAATAAATACAGGACAATGAGACCGATGTGGACAAAGTTTCATTTTGCTCAGTATTGTATACAGACATGACAGCTGCAAAACTTTGAAAAACACAAATATCTGTAGGGCTGAATAATGTGCATGTGGAGGGCCACTTGTTGAACTCACCTCAAACTACCTTTCACAATCATATGACCTGACATTGACAATCCTTGAGTCACTGTTGTGAACACTACATTGTGCAACACTTTACTTTTTTTAAAAATCCCTTTTAGACATGAGTGCACTCTGGTGTAATCTGAGGTGAAGTGTGTTTTGGGTTTTGGACACTCCCCTCCTGTCATGGACAGACCTATCTGGATAATATGGTCTGGTAGAAAACATAAAACAAACACACCCACAGTGAAAACAAATTGATCTACTGAGCCAATCAGGAACCTGTGTGTGCTGCAAAAACTCCATGAA